CTGGTAAATTGAGGGTTAATAGGTTTATCATTTCTTTCTAGTAATTTCAATTCAGTAATATAGTTTTCTAAGAAAGGTTCAACTTTTGTTTCAAAAATATTTTCTAGTTTAAGATGTGCGTATTTTGTAGCAAAATTATAAATTTCGTGAAGTGTTCTATTTATAAATTCANTTTTGTAGCAAAATTATAAATTTCGTGAAGTGTTCTATTTATAAATTCATAATTTAGAGTGTTGTCTGAATTATGAAAGTTTTTAATAGTAGTCAATTCGTTAGTTAATAATAATGTTCTTTTGAGAACATTAAATACTAAGTTCTCATCAGTACATTCAAAATAATTTAATGCATTAGTCATACAAGACATTAGTGGTTTAAACATAGAAAACATTTCGATTAATTTTTTCAAATTCGTCCATTTAGATTCCTCATTTGAGTATTGCATACATTCTAATGACATATCTCTATAGTAATCACGTAAAGGATTTAGCATATCTGAATAGATTTTACTTAATACCGAGGAAGCACTTAGCTTTGATATTTCAAATTCGGTTTTATTGACATTATTGACAGAAGAATAGGTATAGACATATACATCGATTGATACTATTTCTTCTTTTACGTTTATAATTTGTAAACCAACTATATTTTTCCATCCTCTAGAATTAACAATTCTATTAAATTCAGCAACTTCGTTAGGATTTGCCATTGGTTCTGGTTCTGGTTCTGGTTCTGGTTCTGGCACTGGCTCTGGTTCTTGCATTACTCTATGCCGACCAAATCTGCTACTAGTAAGACATATTAACATAAAAAAGAAAATAAATCGTGTGNATTTATTTTACGCCGACTAAATATGCTACTAGTAAGACATATTAACATAAAAAAGAAAATTAAGCGTGTGAGCAACATCATAAAAATCGTAATTAAAAAAAAAAATAACTTACTCCTAGAAGCCTTATATCATTATTCCTTTTAATTTATATGTATAGAGTATTTACATTTATTAATAGTATATGTAAAATTATTATTTATGTATATTTGTTTTATTATTATTTAGTCGTATTTATTTAGTTAATAGNTTTATTTAGTCAATTGAAGTATTTTTGTGTTAGATGTTCATATATCATTATACAGCATAAAAATAAAATTGTACTTGTCAAACAACATTTTTTAAACTTCTAATCCCAATTCAAAACTAAAAGTTTATTTACAAATGTGGTATTATCGTTTGATTTTTGGCACTACAGAACACGCGCTCGCAACAGTTTAGGTTCAATAATGATACGGTAAATCATTACTAAACATTCTATAATGCACCGATTTATTGTACTTTTTTCTAATTCAGACAATATTGTTGATGTCTAATTATTGTATTATCGTCACCTTTATCGTATGTCAAAATTAGCTGATAAATATAATATAGATCTAATTGTAAATAGTATATGAATTTAAAAATAATTTAAAAATAATGTAATTTAAGGTAATTTAAATGTTTAGATTATTATTGTATGCTGTTGTATATTTCTGCCGTGCTAAGCAAAAACAGGATAACTCCAAAATTAAAATTTTTTTGTTTCAATAGGTAAATTTAGTGGTTTTACACCGATTTTTGATGTAAAAATAGCATATTTCCTATTAAAAACCATCTAAAATTGAAATATAAAATAAGAAAATATACGGTAAGTTCAATATATTTGATGTTTTGTAAGCGAAAACACGGTAAATTCAAATACTAAGCAAAAACATGGTATATCACATAAAAAATGATGAATTTACCGTCTTTTGGCTTATGTTTATACATTGGGGAAAAAGGGTATCTTGATTTATTGTTAAAAATGTTTTTTTGTGTTCCTGAAAAATCATGTTGACTGAAGTTATCCTGTTTTCGCTTACCACGGCAGATTTGTATATTGTATACTTTAATATTTAGTTTTTGATTGGATTAAGGTCCATATGAAATATAAAAAAAAAGACATACGCAAATTGTCCAATAATACTGACCTACAAAAAAATAGTAGCTCTNCTGACCTACAAAAAAATGGTAGCTATTTTTAATTTTTACATAAAATCCATAATAGAAATTTTATTAACTTTTAATTATATCTGTAATTTAAAAAATCCATATTAAAATTAAAAATTAAATATCCTCATAACCATTTGTCCTATCCTAAAGTCTCTGGTGTCAATTTGAACTGTTTTTAATTCTATCTAAAAAAAAAAAAGAAATAATTAAAATTTATTATAAATATCATGATTGCGATTAGAAATTATTAATTTTGCTGATGTAATTTTAAAATTAGAATCAAATAATCAGACAGGCTTTAGTAAATTGAAAAAGCTTTATCTTAGAATACTTGATTTAAAACATTTCTCTGACTATTTTCTTTTCTTTATAGAATCCTTATAATTATCCTCAATAACCTTAGTTCATGTTCGTCATAGGTCTGGCACTCTTCAAACCGCACCCGTATTGTCAGATTCCGGATCGCAAATTAGTGCCATGACGACGGCATTCGCGGATCGCCTCGGCCTTCCTCGCTCTCAATGGACTCAGTCCATTACGGGTGTTTCTGGGATTTAGATTCCCAACACCCGAGTTGTTATGACGTGTCAGATGCAGCCACGTTATTCCAGCGAACCCCATATTGACGGTCAAAGCATGGCAATGTATTAAAAAGGGATTCGAAATAACGCGCGCTTCATTGGGAGATTATAATCAACTTGGTCTTAAATCAAACCTCTTATTAAATTTATAATTAAATAATGTTTTTATATTTAAAAAAAACATAGAGTTATATGACATTAGATCATAACATGTTATGATTATAATACATGATACCAACTTTTCAGATGTGTCTGATGTTGATGTCTTCTCATATTATCCTTTCTGAAAAAATGTTTGCTGTAAACTGTTTAATTTGTGTTTATGAACAGACTGCTCATGACGTTCCAGATCTTTCAGAAAACTGAAAGTCTTACCGCAAACACAGAATAAGTGATTCATATTTGATGAGTTGACGATTGAAAATGAAAAGGCTTCAAGGTAATGATTTAACAGACAAACGAAAATTAAGTCCGGGGAAGAATGATTTTTTGGTTTTATTAAGTATACTTTAGCAAACCTCAGCAATTTCATACCACAGTATCTCCTACCCCTGAAGCTGATCATTTTTGTAAGACAATTTCGTGTTATGACCATTCTTTGACGTCCATTGGAATTTAAAATTATTTTACGTGACTTTTGTTAAAACCTCAAGGACAAACGAAAAAAAGCTAATGCTAGACTTTATATCTTCCGCCCTCTACTTAAGTCTAAACTTCAACTAAACACAAAAATGTTGATTTACAAAACTATTATAAGACTATTATAATATAACCTATTATTTCTGACTTCGGCACCACTGGTATCAGTAAAGATTATTTAATGAATTCTACTTTCATTTAAATTACTAAATAACAATTTTATACTACATTTAATTGCTATAATAAATATTTATTTTTATATTATACTTTTAAATTTAAGAACTACTAATCAAGATATAAATAAGGAAATAGGAGATCATGTTTCTTTTGGAATAATTCACCATTTTTTAAAATTAAACACCATTTACATATTTACATCGAAGCAACCTTAGTATATTTTTTAAATCCAAGAAAATCATTTTGCCTCAATCGTCAACTTTTCGCACTGCCCTTTATTTTAACACGCTTATATTAGTTTCACTTGTATGTTGTGGGTTGTGTGTTTGTTTGTAAATCTCCACCAGCCACGTGTTATTATACTTCCGTACCCCGTCGTCTATGGACTTAAGACTAGACGTCGTTCACCCCACCCTGATCACCACTCGCCGTAACAATATTTTCCTATAAAATTTTATTTTTGGTTTTCGTACCCGTGACTGACCAATACCGCCCTCGTCTAATGCGCCTTACGTATATATATTTATATATTCCTACCGCCGCTGAAACCATTTATACCTTAGGTATAACGTTCCCCCCCCACAAAACAAGGCTATACCTAGTGCATGATACGTTTACGTACTTAAGTCGCTTTACTTGTATATATATATATTCTAATTACTATTGAATTTAAAACTAAAATTTACATATTAACATGCTTTATTCTAATTAAGAGATATAAGTATTCATTCCGATTACGAGGGATGATTTCCGTATCGTCATTTTNATTTCAAATACATTTTGTTAGCCAACGGGCTCCTATAATAACGGTTGGCCCGTATGACTGATATGGTAATAATCAACACAGAAAAAAGAACTGAATTAAACCAATGTATACCCAAATATAACAAAAGAGATTGATATTCGTACAATTCCTATTTGCATATATTATAAAAATAAAAATATGGTATTTTGTTCCGTTTTATAATAAATAGAACTAATAAATATCAAGAATATAATGGGCGTCCCCAAGTACAAATGTAGCTACAACTAATAGACTTAACTATAAATAAATTTACATACAATATTATAACAGGATTTAACTCGTTCTATTTACTGATTTGAATGTCTTCCATGTGGTAGCTTCAACTTTGACAATAACAGTCTAACAATAACGGAATAAACCGGTGTTCAAGCTTTCACCAATAACTCCAAACTTAATAAGACCACAACTCTTAAACAAGTCTTTCACGGCTATATACAATAGGCCGGATAACAACAATATGGTAACAAAGAACAAAAAAACACGCGTACGTCGATTACGTAAACGGGTGTTATAATACCATATAGCGCACAGACACATTAACAAATGTCCACCGTAGCTAATCAGCCGACAGACTGATTGACCGTGAAATATATTTGGCTCGGTATTGTTAAAGGCCGCCGTATACTTTCACGGTCAAATATTATCACCACTACCTCCGTGTTCAACCGGTACACGTTATCAATGCCGACTGATACAGAGAAGATAACATGTGCTGTTTTGAACACAATGTATTCCTGATAAACGAATGAAATTACAACATTTCTTGTAAAAAGTATAAACACAATTTAAAATAAACATAAATGTTATTTAAATTATTTTCGAATAATTTTTCATTGTTTGGTTAATATGTTTAAAAATATGTCCATAAATTTTGCTAACATTAGTATATTTTTTAAATCCAAGAAAATCATTTTGCCTCAATCGTCAACTTTTCGCACTGCCCTTTATTTTAACACGCTTATATTAGTTTCACTTGTATGTTGTGGGTTGTGTGTTTGTTTGTAAATCTCCACCAGCCACGTGTTATTATACTCCCGTACCCCGTCGTCTATGGCCATAAGACTAGACGTCGTTCACCCCACCCTGATCACCACTCGCCGTAACAATATTTTCCTATAAAATTTTATTTTTGGTTTTCGTACCCGTGACTGACCAATACCGCCCTCGTCTAATGCGCCTTACGTATATATATTTATATATTCCTACCGCCGCTGAAACCATTTATACCTTAGGTATAACGTTCCCCCCCCACAAAACAAGGCTATACCTAGTGCATGATACGTTTACGTACTTAAGTCGCTTTACTTGTATATATATATATTCTAATTACTATTGAATTTAAAACTAAAATTTACATATTAACATGCTTTATTCTAATTAAGAGATATAAGTATTCATTCCGATTACGAGGGATGATTTCCGTATCGTCATTTTTCGTCACTACGTCCACGTTCAGGGAGTGAGTAATTTGCGCGCCTGCTGCTTTCCTTGGATGTGGTAGCCGTTTATCAATCTCCTTCCCCGGGATTGAACCCAGATTTCCCGTTACCCGTAACAACCAAGATATTGATAGTAACTACTATCATAACATGAAACTAAAAAGTGAAAAATAAATATAGTTTAAAAAAACTAAAAAAACACGCTTTTAAAGCACATTTAACTAAAAATTATTTTTAACTTTTTAGTTCGATGTGCTTTAAAAGCGTGTTATTTTTAGTTTTTTTAAACTATATTTTTTTAAGACTCTAGGCGACGGTCAGTGGTATTGTCATTTTCGTTGCGTCGTCATTACTGTTTTATATTAAATTGTTGTTTTTAACTTTTTACTAAATTAAATTGTTGTAATAACTAATCGTTTGGACGTTCTCGGTCGAGATTACATAACAATCGAATATCGTGTTTTTATATTGGCAAAACGTATCGAAACAGTAGAACAAACATGACAACAACTTTTGGACCAGTATTTCAGAAGTTATTGAAATTTTTATTATTTGTCAATTGTACATTGATTGCATTAAGAAATTAAATAATAATTATTCCAAAAAATATTACAAATAAAAAATCTTTTGTTCATTCTTCATATTGTTTAATTTGGTTTTTAAAATATCATAGCTATTTTAGCTAAAGTCATAAATTTTCTATTATAGGAAATATTCCTTTATTTTCTGTAATGTATTATATTAATGAATCATATGTGAAAATTTAATACGATAATTTGAATATAGACTAACCAATAAATTGCTTATTATTTTCTGTTTGAATTTAATATTTTAAAATACGTTTGACTGCTTATATTGATATTTGATTTCAGGCTTTAATTTAAAGTATAGTTGAACATTGTTTAAACAGTTGGTAAACTTTTTGCGTAGTTGTGCGAAAAATTTCGGTATATGAAAATTANATTGTGCGAAAAATTTCGGTATATGAAAATTACTAAAATTTGAATAAAAACAAGCTACAATAATATTTTTTGAAAATGTTAATATTTTAAATTAACTTTTTTCTATAATACTATCAAAAAGATGTGTTGAAATTCTATATACATGAAAAAAACAATATAATTATTTTTATATAGGTACATAAATCATTAACGTAGCCAAATATATTTTTGGGTGGGAAAGGGAGTAAAGAAATGTTTAATTATTTATTTATGCTAAACATCCATGTAAAACTATTTCTATAGTGATTATAAAAGTTTTATTATAATTTAATCTTATTATACTAATCTTATATAATAAATGGTAGAAGAATTACTTAAAGAGTTGCGGTTTTAATTATTTTTTTTAATAAAAGGCTTGGTGACATTACCATGAGAAATAAATTTGCGAAGATCAGAAAATTTTTTTTAACATTCTGTGATTTTTTAAAAGAGTCAATTTATTTTAAGAAAAACGCTCACTGCCGATAATGTTTGTCGATTTGAGACCTGAAATTTTTAACGGACTCGCCCTAAGTTAGTGTAGGGCTACTATAAAAATTATTTTGTTTCTATTTCAATTTTGACCAAGTTGTGAAATTTTTTTTTAGTCCCATTTTAGTGCATAAATTTAACTAATTGATTTGATTTTACAATATATATTAGCTCCATATGCCCTATGTTTAACACGCTTATATTAGTTTCACTTGTATGTGTGTTGTGTGATGTGTGTTTGTAACTTTCCACGCGGCACGTGTCGTCTAGACCAGAGTTTCTCAAAGTGTGGTCCGCGGACCCCCAGGGGTCCGCGAGCACATATCAGGGTTAGGTCTTTAAAACTGTAGGTCTTTAGATGGGGGTCCGTGATTCATTTGACTTTGAGAACCTCTGGTCTAGACTAGACGTCCTAACGCATTCACCCCACCCCGCTCACCAATCGCATGCAACATTAATTCTGTATAATTTTATATTTTTGATTTTCGTACCCGTACACGCGAACGTAACATTAATTATATATTTATAAAAAATTTTTTATTTTGACTGACCAATACCACCCGCATGTAATGCGCCTTACTTNCTGACCAATACCACCCGCATGTAATGCGCCTTACTTATATATATTTATATTTATATTTTTTTCTCTGGATAAATTGATATTAGATACTATAGTCAATTTTGCATAAAATTATGTAAGAGTTTTATTTAATTTTAACAAATTTGAATCTGCATTACTTTGGNAGAGTTTTATTTAATTTTAACAAATTTGAATCTGCATTAATTTGGTGAATAAAAGAATAATATTCTTGTTTTTGTATTACTTTAATATTTGTTATATACAACTGATTACATTTTGTATTATTTATATAAATTTTGCATCTGACCGTTTTTCATGAAAAGCTAAAGTTTAATATACATTAATAATGCTGCAATAAATCATTTATATCAATAGAAAAATATATTTTATACTGCATATTTTCAGCTTGTAAAATAAAAATTTATATATTACCTCTGTTGTTCAAGACCATCCCTATGGCAGCGTCGGTGATGTCACATCTCTTAATGAACATTATTTTATAACATGACACGGCCTGCGTGTCATGTTATATATTATTATAACAGAAATTACAGAAATGTCACATACTAAAAAATTCTATAAGTTATACTTTTAGCTTTTTTATTCTAATCTTAATAATTAAACGCGTTGTATTAACCCTAAACTTAATTATAGAAATCCATGTTAATGTTATATAAAATGTCAAAATGATTTTCTGTTTATTTGTAACAATGTCTATATTTTATGCTTACATATCAATAAACGGTAATATTGTAAGAATGAGACAATAATGATTTTTGNATTGTAAGAATGAGACAATGATGATTTTTGGGGGTACAAAGTATTTTAAAAAGGCAGAGCAAACCTTTCTCTGGCCTGTTCTTATCGTGTTCTAGACAACGTTACGCGAACATTGTGATCATCATTGTCGAAGTTTTTACCTATTAAAGTTGTGAACTAAATCGAATTGTGTTAATTATTTATCCTACTCACATTCTCTCTTTATTTTATTAAGTTTTGAGTTACGATACAGTTCATGCAATTTATTAACTATTACTTTGTATAGTTAAGTTTTTATTATTCAATTTATTGACACAAATCAAATTTATTATAGTCAGCTTTTGTATTTAATTAAACAGTTGTATTCGTTAAACTAAACAGACTGCATTTATGTTAAAGATTTTTTATTCATCTATTTTGGTAATTTTACATTAATCAGAAATTATTTATTAATTATCAGCTGACTTTATTTCAAGCCGTACGGCAAAGTTTTATTCCTCTTTTTTTTTTGTATAATTTTTTAAAACAGCCAAAGCGGTGAACAATCTTAGAGTCACTAAAAAATAATGAAAAAAAACCCTTAATTTAGAAATTTAGACAAATATCTCTCGATTACGCTGTTGTAAAAAACTACGATTTAAAGAACAATTTCTCCATCTTATAAATGATATAACTTATTTTTAAAAACACTGAATCTAATAAAATTTCAAAAGAGTATATTAGGTAAAATAGTTTTTCATAATAATTCATACAATTCATACAACACAGTGAAGTCACGGGCCAAACCTAAACATAGTATGGTTAAAAGTCGTAAGATTTCCGAAACATTTTGAAAGTTAATTTGAAAAATTTAATTTAGAATGAAAATGTTGAAACTTTCTATAGAAAGGGAATGGCAGAATATAAAAAAAAAATTTAAATCTTATTGCGATTTCTCGTTTGGACTGATATGTAACATAAAAATGATTACAAGCATTATAATCTATCTTATTGAATAAAATGTACATTATATTATATTCTTTAGAATAAAAATTAACAAACAGCGCTTTCCAATGGATTATTTATAATGGTATGATTGGTAATTTTAAGTAAAGTAATATAAACTCAAAAGGAGAAAAACGTAGAAACGTTTCATGATTAAAAAAACTTTGAATATTTTCTTCCTAGCTCTTCAGATGATAAATTATTAAACGCCCAAAGTTATTTAGAAATTATTGCTATGATTTCTATTTAAGTGATCTATTATGATAAATATGCAAAAAAATATTGAGCTTTTATGATAAATTTAATGTAAATAGTAATTATAAAATTTTCTGACCACAATTAATCTTAAAAATACCATTTTTTTAGTTCTCATACAATTTTCCTTTAATGACGTTAATTGCAGACTTATAAGTTGAGCTAAAAGTCATGGAAACAAATTCAACTTTTTTTTATTATAAACTGTCAATTATGAACTTTAAAAGACCCANCTTTTTTTTATTATAAACTGTCAAGTATAAACTTTAAAAGACCAAAAATAAAGGTTATAAATGATATTTTGCACGGATTATTTTTAACATATTAAAAATCAGAATTACTAATTCAGCAAATTTATCAGCAATGAAATAGTTAGAAGATAAAGTTTTCTGATGTAAAATGAGTCAGTATATGAGCTTCTTCGTTTACTTGATATGGTAAATTCCAATGTAATGTCTGTTTTTCCCATTTCAGTAAATCAAGAAGGGGGTTTTCCGATTGGTCGGTTTTTCCCAACTCAACTAAGGGTTTTTCTATTTCGATTTTTTGCGCGTGGTGACAGCCCTCTTTTATAAAATCGTATATCTTTTATAAAATGGTTTCTATTTCAGATAGACCGCAATTTTTGAGTCAAAATAGTTGATATTTTTATAATAGGAAATCGCATAGAGACTAATCTATCGGTTTTTGTCTCCAGCTTAACAGCTGTAAGAATTTTTTTAGTGTATCCTGACCGTCAAATTTTTCCAAAAATTCATTTATTCCGGTCATGTTGGATATAATGACTCACCAACCACAAGCTTTTCTTATTGACTTTTCTGGCATTAAATTAACCCATATATACGACGTTATGCAGGCCTCCATGAGTACTTTAATAGCGTCACTTAAAAATCTTTGCGGGTCCTCAACTCTAGTGACTTTATACTCAGGTAAGTATTTTTGGACCAAATCACTGTTTAATTAAGGCGCAACAAATGATTTTACCGCGTCTGTATTATTCGCTGTGTGGTTAAAATTAGTATTTTGACTATCGAAATAACTATTCGGTTGACTACCTAAACACCCGTTATTATTATTATTATACATTCCATCAGTGGTAAATTACGGTTTAGTATAATAAAAATTATTCGGTTCATGAAAGGCAGTTGCGTTCTTAAAATAAACAATATTTTACTCAATATAATTAATTTTATTTTCTCAAGCCGTCTCCATATTACCATTGTTATACGGTTGGTGAACACGGTTTGATTTAATAAAGTTATATTTTTTGAGAAAAAAAACTATCATCGTTAGAATCTCCGATATTTGATTTTGCCATTCCGTCAATATTATGCGGTTTTAGGTTTTTTATTTGCGCCGCGTAGTTAAAAGTTGAACTATTTTGTGTCTGTAACGTAACTTGTTTTGCGGACAAGTCCGTTAAAATTTTTTCGAGTTTTTCTATTCGTCCAACTAACAAATTAAATGTTTGTAATCGGTTTTGAATAATATCAATGTCAATATTTACTATGTTTACGCGGTCGGATAACGTGTCGAATTTATTTTCCCAAAAGTCCATACGACTATTTTTTGTGTTGTCTATACATTTNACGACTATTTTTTGTGTTGTCTAAACATTTTATTTGGCCTATTGATTTCACCGCCGCCCGATTAATTTTTGTTAGGAGTTTTCTCGGTTTCCGTATCCACGTTTTCTATTCTAAATTTACAATTTTGCGGGTTTACGTTTTCTATATCTCTAAAGTAACTTTCCAACGCTATTATTTTGTCGGCGTTAGTCCCCTGCGAATTTATGTTACGTTTCTTTATTTATTTCGTCGATCGTTAGTGTTATTAATTGTTTAATAATTTTAATATAAATAAACAAACTTTAATGGTTAGACTAGTATTAACGAAAAAAACATTTTCTAATATCCCAAACTTATTTATTTCCGTGTTAGCGGTATAATAAATATAATTCGGTTATAATAATAAAAAAATGTGTACTCTATTCGGGGTAATAATTAATTAAAAAATTGCCAAACTACTTTTTTCTTTCTTTGTTAAATAATAAAAAAAAAGTTTGTAGTTCGGTACTTTTTATTATTTCCGCGCTCAACGAATATTGACCAAATTATTTATTTCCGTTGGTACGGTTTAATAAAATCGGTTTTTTATACTTTTGCGGTAATAAATAAGTTAAAGATGATCTAACTAGTTCTCTGTTAGTACTTTAACATATTTCCACGGTATTATTCGGCTCCAAATTTATTTATTTCTGTAATGGCAGTTTAATAAATTAAGTTCAGCTGTTAGTGGTATTGTTATTTACGTTGCATCGTCATTACTGCCTTATGTTAAATCGTTGTTTTTTACTTTTTACTAAATTAAATTGTTGTAATACTTTTGTTTAAATAGTAGTTAAATAAATTTTTAACTCCTTCCATTCAACAACTATTAATTATATTTTTTATGAGCGCTTGATTAATAATGATATGATTTATTTCAGTTTTCGATAAGGTATCAATTTTTTTATAATAACTAAATAATAAATACTAATAATTATTAACTATTGGTTTTAATTTAAATTTTCCATTTTAGATATTTAAAATTATGAATAATTATGTTATCAAAAAAAAAAAAATGTTATTAGTTACTAAATTCAATACGATTTTGACTATTTGCAAAATATCAAATGTTGTTTCCAATTTAGTGTAACACAATAAATCTAATTCTATTATATTAAAAATATCATAAAATGAATTACTTTATGATTACAATATAAGCTCAAGTATTGATCATTTTATGAAATGAGTAAGTAAGTAAGAAAATGTGCAAGTAAACATTATAATTGGTAATCGAATTATAATGATTTTTGTACAACTTTATTTCTTTAAATGACAACATACATATATAACTGCCTTATAAAATAAGAAAAGATCTAATTAAAAAAAAACCCAGCACAGGGGGGTCGCGGCACAGTGGTGCCGTGGTATAGTTGGATCAAGTATAATGATATCTGACAGTGATTAAAATCACTATCAAATATAAATAAGTTAAAGATGATCTAACTAGTTTTCTGTTAGTACTTTAACATATTTCCGCGGTATTATTCGGCTCCAAACTTATTTATTTCTGTAATGGCAGTTTAATAAATTAAGTTCGGCTATTTACATTTTTATATATGTTTAGGCGGTACGGTAATTTCTCGAATAACGCAGTCCGTTACATATAAAATTTTCTTAGAAATAAACTTATTTATTTCCGTAAGTCAAATGAAGTCAGTGGTTTCGCTAATTTTTTTGTTCTCGCGGCACGGTAACGTAAGCGCGTTTCGCCGGCCGTCACAAAAAAATTAGTACACTGCACAAAAAAAACTAATATGGCAAAAAAAATGTTTTAAACATTCACAAATTAGTCCTTGAAAAAGTATGTTTGTTCAGTCGACTGCGCCAGTTGTTTTAGACTACAAATTAGAAATAAAATAAAGTTAATACTAATTTTAATTTATAACGGATAAGATCTCATTCATCTAATAATAATAATAATAATCAATA